TCTTGAGGCCACCGGTTGGAGGCCATCGCTCTTATAGGTTCTGAAGCCATCGAGTACGCCATCGCTCTGGTAAAGAACTGCTCAGACTTTCCGGTGGAAATGCTGCAGCAGGATGCTCAGGCAGCTTGCAATTGCTCCCTTGGTAGCAAATGGAAGACTCGGGAATTATACAGCCCTCCAAGCAGCCTACTATGCAGACTTACGAAGAGTCAACATGAGCGTGCCGGAGGGTCTTCTGGCCAGTCTTGGCTATGCCATCACCCGGCCGGGCAACTCCTTCCACCTCCATCAAGCGCAGAGAGCTGCCGAGCGCTCAGGTGTTTCAGGGTTACACCAATGGAGCGTCATGCTTCCCACCAGTGCTCGGGTCTCACAAGAGGTCTACGAACCGCTCTTGGGCATCCAATATCCAATGCTCTGTAGCCATCGTCAAGGCCAATGGCACATCGGCACCACCTCTATTCGAGCCAATGACCTGGCAGCCACAGGCCTACGTTTTGTCAACTGGCAGCACCAGGATGACCATGATGCCGCCCGAGCCGACCCCCCACCATCGCCAACCATCTCGACCTACCACAGGAGGGGGAGCAAAGAGACACTACCCTTGTCCTCACCACGACGCGGAACAGCGCTCTCGCGCTCCAAAACTACTTTCAACGGAAAAAAGGCCAATGCTGAAACTGCAGTCAAAGTAGCGGGAGCTACCGCGCGTCACTGCATCATTCTCCATGGCCGATCCAACTTCCTCAGCGGAAGTGGGCATCAAGAGGAATTTGACAACGAGTGCTACACTCGAGCCAATGTCGCTTATAGCAGAGCCACTGATCTCACGGTCCTTGCCTGTCCCGTGAATATGCAGGGCATTCCAGGAGCCCTTCAGGTCATTGCTGCTCTTCTACATGGTGTTTGCACTATCCATACGGGCAGTAAAAATGAACAGCGCCCACAGGTCAAGGGCCGGCTTCATGAGGACACAGCGGAAGTTCAGACCTCCACTGCCGCTTTTGCAGCTGCAATCAACCCTCATTCGCTGTGGCAGGGCCTTTTGCTGGTATGCCTTGTTGAACACCACCTGGGAGTGGCTAGGCGGCTGCGACTTGTCCTTGCTCACCAATCGCTTCTGTACACAGCGGAAATGTCATCCCTGCCCTCGAGCGGCCGGGTCTTTGAGAGTGGTCTTCTTTTTGGATATGCGCCAGACGGAAGGGCCATGCCTGATTGGCTAGTTATTCCAGACAATAGTATGCCAGCTGCGTGGAGACTTTTGCATAATGCAGCTAAAGCAGGGGAGCGCTTCAGCATCGGCAGTACCATTCGGTACCCACCGGGGCAGGAAACTGCTGCCAATCACCCGTGCCGCCACGCCTCTCCAAAGAGCGGATCCTGGCGAAGCTGATCCAACGCTTGGCGGCTGCCAGGAACCGGACCATTCGCCGAAACTCTTCCGAAGAACCCAGGGATTTACCGGGGACCCGGGTGACACACGGAGCCGGAGCCGAAGACGGCAGCGGAGTGGCCAAGAAAGCCTCCCCAACCGTCCAAAACCAGGACCAAAGGTGAAACGCATTGGTTGTACTCGTTGGAAAAGCGAGAAAAGAAAGAGTATAGATCCTGGGTGGAGGATAAACTAACACAGAACAACGAGGTTCAGGAGGCTATACCGGTACAGCGTTTTGCTCTTTCTCTGGGGCGTATTTGTTGCTCACTTGAGAAACCAGGAAGCAACAGCTCTTCTCTCCAAATACGTTTTCAAAGAAAAAGAAGGGGTGAAGTTTTGCTGGTCTCGTCAAGTCCGTCCCCATCACTGCTTGAGTTGCACCATTTCTCTGTTCTAGTGGCACCTGGGAGGGTTCCACAGAAACTCTTCAGTTCCAGTTGTAGAAGTTGTGCCAAACGTCTTCGTTTGCATCTGTATAGGCTATAGGCCATATTTAAACGTCCGTTTTTCATTGTAGAAATCGTTTTTGTAACTTGCACTCCATGCAAGTCAGGAACTTGCGTTCACTTGCTTGCTTTGTTTTCCTTTCCGCTCAGGAGGGCCACCAGTTCTTTTAAACCCATGACTTGTAGAGGCAACGCTTGTAGACACCCCGAATATTCGTCAGGTCCTGGTAAAGGCCGCGTTGGGAACACTCTCTTCCAGCACCACCCATTTCGGGTGTTGATGGGATGGAAAATACCTGGTCAGGGCGGTCTATAAAACACCCGATCCGGGGTGGTGCTGGTTCCGCCTCTCTCCACCTCACTCACTCCTTCCCTTCCCTCTTCGTGCCCGGACCAGGCGGCGCGCACGACGGCTCCGCGGAGCCAGCCCAGTGGAGGCGGAGCCCGAAGAGCCTCCGCCCACGTGCTCGCACATAGAGTCGACAGACCCACCCGGGGTCTCTGAAAAAGAATCCGTGTTTTGGCAATCCCGGGTAACTTTCCTCTGAAGACATGAAGCCTTGAAGCCCTGCTGACGACCTGAAGTCCTCCCCAAGTGTTCTGCGTGCTGAGAAAACGAAGCGGACGGATTTCAAGACACGGTGCCGAGCTTATTGAATCACAAAAACGCAGGGGGAGGAGGCGCCTCTCACCCTCGACCACGGTGGGTGCGAACCAACAATGTGGGTTTGCATCTTTGTCGACTGAAGGTTCGCAGCGATTCCGACTGGAAGCGGTCATAGACGTGTCCGAGAAGGGAGAAGTTTTGGTTGGTTAACCAGAAACAGTTCTGGTTGCTCCAAAAAATATGGCGCCAATTTGAGATCCTTTTAATTAAGGAAGTGCCTGGGACTGGGTTTCATTCCATCCAGAACTGCTTTCTGCTTGAGACTGGATTTCCAGGTATACTGTATAGGGGATGGATCGGGACTTGGTTGATCAGTCTCGAAGTCTCATTGTAGTTTGCTTAAAAGCCTCATGCGACTCATGCGATGTAGACTTGATGGAGTTTAACTCACGCTGTATCATCTCCATATGGTGGGTTTTGTGAATCAGTCTACATTAGATGTGGCTGTACAAAAATATGGTTCCCCACATGTCAAAGATACGACCTTGGTTATCCACAGGACTCCAAGAAAACCGAGCCGGTACGACCGAGTTGCTACGTTTCTCTCATCACCCAGCTGGCCCCCCAGCTCGTGCCCGTCTTTTTCTGCGAGCTCTGCAATCCCTAGAGTTTCTTTGACCCACCTACCAGCACCCTCCAACAGGCGCTTCCTGGTGACAACAGGTGCCCAGAAACCACCTGTCAGGGTCAGGGTCTCCAAACAGCCTGTTGGAGGGTCCTGGTAGAGTTTTTAAGAGTCTGAATCCCGAACAACCCTTGTTTTGCTGAGGACGACTTTGTCCCAGCTCAACCATTTATTGGAAGAAGGGAATTCTTTAAGAGGAAGTCCGGTTTCCACCGTGCGAACCAATGGGTTTGTTGGAGTGCGAACCAATGGATTCGCTGCCAGCGTTTGGTCAGAACCGAGGTGTGGTCCAACCATTCGGTCCCACAACTTCGCTGGCGCAAGGCACACTGAAGAGCCCGTCAAAATGACACCGGCATAGCAACTAACTCAAACGGACTACAGGCACCCAGTCATTGAGAAGTAAGAACTCCAGGCTATAGCTATCGCTATCTGGGGAAAAAAAATGCCCTGCCAGCATCATTGGATGGCCTGGTCTCTGAGGAGTCGAAGCAACATTCCCCAACGACGGGGGCCCATGTGTCTGGACAGATCCATCTCAGGGAGCAGTCCAAACAACCTGCTCATCTTGGAAGGTCCATGAAGGTCCTAATGTCTTTGGTCTTTCCTTCCACCCAAACGCTCCGTGAGTGGGTTCACAGCCCGTGAGTGAGTGAGTGAGTGAGTGAGTGAGTGGGTGAGTGAGTGAACCTTGTTCGCCCGGGTCCCTCAGAATCCCAAGGATTTGAGACGAGAAACCAAAGACCCGTCTAAAGAATTTGGGTCCAGGAGCGTCTGGGGAAAAAATATGAAAAAATAATACACACCCATTGGTCCCCTCCGCCCTCCCCAGCCTCGAGAGACAGATCTCCTGCACCGGCGGAAGAAGAGCAAAGGAAGGGCGCAGGAAGAGCAGCTTTTTGAGGAGATTGAACATCCATAGAAACGACGTCCCAAGTTTGCCAGGGGAAATGGTACAATTACACTCCAACGAACACATCACATGTGCACTTTCAGTGGATGTCTTTGAGGACGTCAATAGGCATTGCATCCACAAGCCATTTAAGGCCCTTTTGTTCGATCACCCGTATCCCTTACCTGCCATTTGACGTATCGTCGGCGCGTGTGATAAAGGAGGGATTGTGTGTGCGGCGCTTGAGGGATCCTACATGGTAGCGGAGCCCTTCGTGATCTACGGACTTTGTCATTGACTACCTCGAGTATCTCGAGTATTTCAGGATCCCGGACGATGACGATTACAAGGACGAAGGATGGAGTTCCAGGATGGAACGGAGATCCAGCATCTTGGCTGGAATTTCGCCAGTTCGTGGCATCTACCAAGTTTGAGGCCCGCTACACGTGCGGACCAAAGATCGCGGCAGAGCTCACCGGTGCTGCGCGCACCGCCATCATGGGCAAGAAAAGTAGTTGGCTGAGCGAAGAACAGGGGACAGAGACATTGTTGCAGCACCTTCAAAAGACCATCGGGGAGCCAGCACTGCCAGAGGTGGGGAATTTCCTCCGGCAGTACTTCAAAGTGTTGAAGAGGCAAAAAGGGGAATCTATGACAGCATTCTGCGTGAGACATCGTGATGAATATGAACGAATGTGCAGGGCATTGGCCAGAATGCTAAAGGAACAGAAGCAGGAGGTGAAATCAACAATGCCGAGCTCTTCGCAATCAGCAGCGGCAGAGAACGTGGGAGAAATGGGTGACGGACATGGCAAGATCCTTGGTGGGAGAACTATTGGTGGGGCTATGGAAACCACTGGTACAACGGGAATTGGAAGTCTCATTCGACAAGCAGGACATGGTCACAACAGGAATGGTCTCGTCGATCTGAGGCCCAAGAAGCAGAAGAGGACGAACAGGTCAGCATCCTACCAGACGCAGTCTTGGGATGGATGTTGTTGGAAAAGTCCGGCCTCGACACCATGGAGAAGAGCATCATCCAGGGAGAGGTGAAGGGCAACTTCACTTTAGCAGGCATTGAGAATGCATTGAGAGCTCACTGGGCCGACGACGCCATCAAGAAGAGAGATGGAGAGGGACGACATTCCTCCCTATTTCAAGGAGAAGAGGATGATGAAGAGTATGAAATGCCATTGGACGAGGCAGACGCCTTCTATGAGGGATGGACTGAACGAGAAAAAGCTTGGTATCAAGAAGCCAAGGAAGATGAGCAGCATGCTTGGCTGCAGATGCAAGAGCAAAACGCACCTTGAAAGAAGCAAGAGCACGACAACACGAAGTCAAGATGACAAGAAAGTTCTACAAGTCCTACCCGATTGGAAGTGGTGGTAGGTCAACCAGCTTGTTGAGCCGCTCGAAGATCGGCCGTTTTCCCCGCCATGAACGGAGGGGGCTCAAGGCGCCTGCGTGAGGCACGTGAGAGTTGGGCCAAATGGTGGCCGGACAGAAAGTGGATCCAGAGCATGGGTCATGAGCTTAAGTAGAATGGCATGTTCTTTCACATCCTTCGGGGGAGACTTTCATGACCCTGGCTCTTTCACCAAGCTAAATTGGGCGGTCCTCATCACTCGCCTCATCAGCGTGCTATTTCCGCATCTTTTCGTGAGCGGATCGGCCAACATCTGGGAACCTGGAACCCAGTATGTTTTGACCTTCAAAAGTCGTGCTGAGATGCAGATCACAGCGACATCGATCTGCGCTCTGCGGCATTGGCCAGCGTTTCCTGACCGCCTGCTGAGCAAATCAAACAAGCTTTGGCATCAGTCACATGGGCTCCAGTCCCGTGGTCCCTGACCCGGATCGAGGCGATCTCAAAGTCCTGCGAGCCATCCAGCACACAGCTGCTGGGGTCAAGCAGTTCGTGCCAGAGAGCACGAATCCACTCCACTTCAGCCAGCGCATCATCCATCGCCAAGGCCTCTGAACCAAGCGTTGCCTTCACAACGCGCTTCAACTTGTGGCTTCGCCAGGAGTTCAAGCTGAAATCAGCGACCTGGCCTTTCATGATGCTCTCGTGAGCTAGCGCCAACACAAAGCCACCCTGCGCACGTTCGCCATGGAGGCATCCGCAACCGTCATCCAGATGCTCTCCTCTGCAGGGATCGGCATATCCTTATGAAGGCGTCCATAGTTTGCTTCAGCTCGGCAACCGTCTTGTTGGCCATCAGGATGCGCTCCACCGTTGGTCCTGTCGACGGCCAGGACATGGACATAGCGCATGCAGCGCTGCTTCATGCGCTCCTTGGTGAGGGTCACAGGACGGAGCTTCTCCTGGATGTATCTTTTCATGCTCACCTGAATCTCAAAGGACGGGAGCTGGTGCAGAGTTCTGCCAATGTAGTCGGCTGAGCTGTCGAAGACATCCTTCCATTTGCCGAACTTGAGCTGCGTGCGAAGCTGGTTCATGAGCTCTTGATGACGAGCATTGCCACCCTGGCAGAAATCATCAACATCTAACAACACAATGCCAGCCACAAACAGCTTCTTGCCAGCCATTTCCTCCTCCGTGGGCTTGAGGTAGTAAAGGCATGGATCGAAGACACTCTCCTCATAGCCCAAAGTCAACAGCTTTCGCCTGACGGTGCGTCGCCAGACTGCTGGAGCATTCACCAGGCCGTAGACTGCAGTGAGCACTCGGATGATGGTCTGTTGACCATAGCCTGGGATGCCACTTGGAGGCATGGAAGCATAGAGTGGTCCTTGTTCACGTTCGACCGGATCACTCTGGCCGAAAGCTGAGCTGACATCCATGATGAAGAGGTGGAACTGCAAGGATGACAGGATCTGAAGTGCCAGCATCACGGTTGTACTTGAAGGCGTCGGTGCAAATCGCTCTAATTGAAGGCTGTCTGGGTCTCTGTGTCCCAGAAGGATCCAGCGTGCTTTGGCTTTCCATTGTTCGCCAACCTCGCCGGTCTTCTTTGTGATGATGAACCGGCTGGGCATGATCCGGTGGCTGTATTTGTCATGCACCCACCTGATCTGCTCTGGGTCAGTGATCATCTCGATGGCATTGGAGCCAATCAGGTTGTCGATCTCTTTGATCTTAGCTTCGGCTAAGAGCTTCTTTTCAGCATCATTCAACTTCTTTTCGTTCAGCTCTTTGCCACTCTGCTTGGTGAGGTAGGACAGCGAGCTCTCTTCCTGGAGGTAGTGGTTGTAGTAGGTGTCAGTCTTCATCACCTTGTGAAAGACCTGAAGGTCCCGTTGGTTGGCAACCACACTCAGTGAGATCATCTGCACGCCAGTGACCAAAGATGCAGGAGCGCTGAGGTGCCCGCTGATCAGTGGCTGCTCCTTCCAAGCTGCGCTTCATGCCCGTGTCCACCAGGCGTGCATCTTCTTCTGGTGCCTCAGGTGGATCAACAACTTCATTCGGGCCATAGAGAGGTTCTTTGTAGTCCTCACCTGGATCAGGGTGTTCAGGAATGGCCTTGTACACCAGGACAGTGAGGATGTTGATCACTCCTTCTGGCAGCTTGTCATGCGCTCGGTGAATGGGCATCTCTGGTGTGATGGCGATGTCTTGAATCTTCCGGTTCGTGTCGATGTCATACGTGACTCTTCGAACCACATCATTTCAGAGCGGGCCCTTGCTATTTGAGCCACGGTAGCGCTTGGCACTGAAGTCATGGCGCTTCCACATCTTGAGAACTTCTGGATGGCCACTTGAAGGCTCAGGAACATCTTGCTGCGCCTTTCGGTTCTCCAGTGAGGCCTTCCAGAGTTCATCTGCGTCAGTTCCTTCTTCTCCTGCAGCTGCGGACTGTGGCTGCTGCTGGTGTGACTGCTGATGCTTGCTTGCTTGCTGATGCCATTGGTTGTTCTTCTTGAGGTTTTGCCTTGCTTGAGTCAATCACTTCATCGATGACAACACGTGCAGGCGCTGCCTTCGCAGGTGATCGTGCGCGGTCCCTGCGCTGCGTTGCAACTGATGTTGCTGGCTGCTTGCTCTGCCGTGCTGGTGTACCAGGACCAGGTGTTCCTGGTGTGCCGGGTGCAGGTGTCGAAGGATTGGGTGTTCTCAATCCTTCGGGGGGTCCTCGAGGTGTTCCTGGGACCTTGCGATACACGGTGTGTGGATCAAGTGCTTCTTGCCGTGCTGATTGCCGTGTTGCTCGCCGTGCTGCTGCAGCTGCTGCTGGTGTAGGTGGAGCCTGCCTCGGGGCTTGTTCGATGATCTCCAGATCATCTGGTGGGTCGCCCTCCTTGGTGACATCGGTGTAGCCAAGTTTCTCTGGATGGAACCTCAGTCTTTCCTTGGCCTTCAGGAGGTCGGCCTCAATGACTTCTAGCCCTTGTCTCTCGAGGCATCCCATCTCAAACACCTGACTCTTGTTGCACTTCCAGAGTTCTCCACGGCGAGTCACCCATACAGTATCGCCGCGCTGCAAGACAACAAAGCATGGGCCAACCTTTGCCACATTGCCACGTCGACCTTGTCGCCAAACTGAGACAGGGTCGCCTTCTTTAAAGTGGTGGTCTTCTCGGGCTCTTCTGGGTCTGGCTCTGATGGCTCTTTGAATCCTTTCTTTGGCGTCGACGTCCATCAAGGCTTGACGAGCTGCCTTGCGGATCTCCTCAGAGCGGGACCAGGCGTCATCGGTGGTCATGCTGTACTCATACTGTCGGGCGTCACTGAGGAGGTCGAGGCCAAGGCTAGGCTGTTTGCCAAAGACTCTCTGAGCTGGAGAGTAGCCAGATCTGTTGGTCATAGTCTGTAGTGCCCAGAAGACCTCATGCACCAAATCTTGTACTTCTTCAATCGTGGCAGGTTGCTTGAGCTCACGGGTGCGATAGTACACCTCTTTGAAGAGGCCACCTCTTCTCTCAGTCACCCCATTCTGATATGGAGCATCCCTGTCAATCAGCAATGGCTGAATGCCATGTGATTCGAGCATGGAGATGAAGTGCCCTTGGAACTCCAATCCTTGATCCATCAGCACGAAGGATGGTGCACCAAATGTTCGAAGCCATACGGAGAGAAATTTGCTCCACACCAACTCTGAGCCTCTCCGGGTAGGATGCACCATGCTGAAGGTGGAATACAATGTTCCAAGGCATGTGACGTTCAGAATTGGATGCTCAGTGGTGTGACTGATGCCATGCACAAACAACAAGTCAACTCCCAGCACCACATTGAAGTCATAGGTGCGAGGTGTTGATGCAGGGAGTCTGGTGGGCTGTCGTTTCTCTTTGAGGCATCCTTCGCAGGTGAACTCCTTGAGCACGTACTGCACCACATCATTTCTGCTGCCGGCTGCCTTGAGAAGCCTCACAAATTCTTTCACTCCAGGATGTCCCAGATTGACATGGGCTCGGAGGATCATCTGCTTCTCTGCGGCAGTCAGGCTGGAAGACTCAGCAAAGCTCCAGTTCGGCTCTGGGTGAGTGTAGAGGATCACCACAAAGGGCTAGGAGACCTCAAATGGAGAAATCTTCCCAGAGCTGCCCTGTTCGAATTGAATCCACTTGCCATCCAGCACTCCTTTCACCCAAGTCCACCGGAGACATCTGTGGTCTGGGCCTTGTAGTGGAACTTGATGTTGTAGGGGCTTACGGAGCACCAGAATGGCATCGTCGTTGAAAGATCGCCACTGCTGCCATTCTCGTGGACGGAGTTCATCGACCCACTGGTTCAAGTCACCTGTGTCAGGAAGTCGCTTGGGTCGTCCTTTCTGTGTGTTCACCCAGCTCTGGACCAGACCATCAATGATTGCTCGCACCAAGGCTGGAGGGTATTCTTGAGCACGATGTGGTAGTCCACCAATCAAAGACTCATGCGGCTGCTGGCAGTTGCACAGTCGCTGGAGGTTGATGGCAATCTCATCATTGGTCGTGGCAAAGAGTGTTGCCTTGCGATTCAAGCCACCTTCTCCAACTTTGAGTCCAAATCTACAGAGATGACTCTTCACGAGTATCACCTGTTCGTGCTGCAGGTAGTTTTGAACCTTGGGCAACAACCATGAAGTGGCCGTGTCAGGGTGTTCATGTAGTCCATCTCCTCCACGTGACAGCTGCTCCTCCTGCATATCCATTGAGAAGTCGAGGTGTCGCTTTGCCTCAGGTAGCTCCTCCATCAATCGTTCTGGATGTGGTCGAATGTTCTGGAGCGGTGAAAACTTCGTGCAGGGAGGAGTCTTTGTCAAAAGTCGCGGTCTTCGCCGCCTCAACTCCTGTCGAACCCATTCTTGTTGGTCCTTCTTGTTCATGTCATACCCAGTGACGAGGTCAATGGACAAGCTTGCTTTCAGGCCTCGCTTCTGGGCTTCTTCCACAAGTCGTGGAGGACCGTAGAGCTCGATGACGGAGTCGTTCTCTTCAGAGAGGCCACCATAGATCTCGGCAATGTCGTCTGGTTCATCAAGTTGCTTTTCCCAAAGGGTCCAATAGGCTTCCTGGCCTCCAAGTAAGTCATCCAGACTCCTCATAATCTCGCCCTTTGTCGACTTTGCCAAGGTGGTCTCATTCTCATAGAGCTCGGAGTCGGTCAGGTACTCCAAGAATTCAGGCATGAACTCATAGAGGATCAAACATGGAGTTTCCATTCCAAGATTGTAGTCTTCACCAGGCACTTGGGACACATGCACTGCGTCCCAGTGATCATCGCACTTGGTCAAAATGACCTTTCGGCTAAGGAAGGCTCTGGTGATGACAGGCGAAACTCCGCGGACACATTCACCACGAGATGTGGTTACATAGGTTGCCGCTTGATCCAAGTCCAACGTGGACATCACCTTCTGGAAGCGACTGTCATCGTGCAACGATGTCATCTGTGACATCCAGCCAGCTAATCGTTGTGCAGGAGGTTGATGTTGAATCGTCCCATCTTGGCATAAGCCAGTGGCATCTCGAAGAGGAACGCTGCCAGGCCACATTGTTCCTCCATGCATTGGATCTCCACGTCCTGCGGGTTGGACGAGTCTTTGATCACCAACATCTCCTTGCTGTTGCATCGAGGGCAAATCATCGTGCCATACGCTGGTTGGACATGGTCGTTCAGGTCGCCCCAGTGGTGTTCGCATCTCATGTTGTCGCACTTCCACAGGAGGTTCATTGATGGGACATGGCGGCAAAGTGTGACCATGCCCGTGTGGCACACGTCGCAAGACTGGGAATGCGCTTGCCGTTGAATCTCCACCATCGCCTGATCTCGTCCGGTTCCTGCTTGATCGTCTCCTGCTTGCACATCGGTGGTCGTGCCTTGGACTTGTAGGCCATGGCTCTGGACGAACTCTTGGGAGTGGTCATCATCAAGGAACTGGTGGAGGATATCGAACTCGGTGACTGGACGATCACACTGCTGGAAGCATCGCTCGAACCTTTCTTGCTCTTGGTGGACTTCTTCCTGATGTCGTAGAAGACGTCCGGGATGTAGACCAGGTTCTGGTTCCAGGTGTGCAGTTCGGTGATCGGAGTCAATGGCATGATCTGCTTCTGTTGGCACTGATTGCACTCCTGCCAAGAGAGGATTCTGTTGGCTCCATGCTTCACTTCGGCTTCCAGGTGAGTGCAACCCGGTGAAGGTTCCAAAGCAGGGACCAGGAATCGTCCCTTTCCTTTCACCATTGCCAATGGACGGACTCTGTCCTCCCGTCGTGCCGTTGCTAGGGATCCAGTCAAAGCCGATGGTGTCGTGACGTGAGCTTCGGCTAGGACTCGTTGTTCCTCCTGGGCCAATTGGAAGGCTTGCTGCTCCAAATGCTCTCGTCGCTGTTGTAGCCAGCGGACTTCTCGAAGTTGGGGTGTTCGCACCACTTCCTGCACTTGCCAAGCTTGAAGGGAGGCCGATAGTAGAAAGCGCAGCACAAAGCGCCGCCAGCGGCACCATAGCTGCTGGATAGTGCGACAGGGCATCCAGCGTAGCCGAGTCGGGAATGGGCTCGACCGACCAAGCTTGGCTGGAACTTGCTGCAAAATTCGAAGGCACGTTGAAGCCATTCTTGCCAAAATCAATGATGGAAACCGAGACGTGGCCTGATGACAACCTTCTCGTGTTTTGACTTGTTGCTAACTTAGTGTACCAAATCACAGCATGCTCCATGTCAATGACGGCACCGACGTTCGAGAGGAAATAGGCAGGAATGCGGAAAGGTATTGTTCCGGGGACCACCTGAACACGAAGAACACCTGACTTGCCCCCGAGACCGATTGGCACATAGGCAATGGATGTGCTTTCCTCTTTCCCGCAAACACCACGAACACTACCTCCGGCTTCATGAGACCATTGAACTCGCAAACCAAATCTTTCTTGTAGGAGGGTGTCATGTTGCTCCAGGGTTTCACGACCAACCAAGCCATGTTGGGCAGCTGTATCAACCAAAGCGGTGCCCTGATCTTCATGAACCGCTAGAAAAACAAAGCTCAAGCCAGTGAACTCGGCTGCAATGTATTCGCTCTTGGTTTCAAGCTCAGCGGTGGTCGTCAGAAAGGCCCCTGCCAGTTTGGCAGGTGGCTGAATGAAAAAGCCGGTACTCATGCCGGTGCTCATTGCTCCCGTGGAACTTGAGCTTCTTGAAGTCGGTGAAGTGGTCTTGGCCCGGTGCGGGCATTCCTTGCTCCAATGGCCAACCTGCTTGCAAGTGTAACAGCGGGTTTTGGCCTTCAGGTCATTCAGGCTCATGCGGGGTCCGGTTCTTGTCCATGGTCGGTCGTATCCACGACCGTTGCGGCTAGCTTGCAAAAGGCGTCTATGCTCGAGGTAGCCGCCGCCCTTGCCAGAGCCAAAACTTGGTGCACCCTGGCCAAATGTCCGTGTGGGACTCTTGCTCTTGCCTTTCTTTCCTTTGCCCTTGAAGCCTTTTCCTTTGCTCTGCATGCGGTTCTGCGTCTCGTAGTAGATCTCCTCGATCTGGGTGGAAACCGCTTCCAGAGCCTCAGCCTCATCCATGATGACGGGCAACTCATCTTGGAAAATCATCTGGGCTTCTTCGTTCTCGTTCATGCAAATCAGGTCCTCGAAGGGGTCCAGCATCTCAGACTCGAAGACGTCATAGTCCCAGTCCTCATCTTCAGGCTCTCCATCTTCATTGTCACCCCAGTAGGTGGCACTTCGCCATCGCCGATGAGGTGCTCCATGGTCTTGGCAGAGCTCATCAAGTCGGTCACCAAAGACCTTCTGGATAGCCATCTAGATCTCCCGAAAGTCGATCGATCCATTGGTCACGACCTTCAACCTCTGGCGTTGATCTTGGCTGAATGACCCTTGGCGAAGGATCAGGTGGCCAAGAAGATGTCTTCCAGCTGGCGTCGCCAAGAGGTCGAGGCCTTGTTTTCTCAACTCTGCAAATGCCGCCTTCTTGTTCGTCAGGAAGGTGGTCAGAGACATTCCTTTGTCTCGGCGGCCTCGAAAGATGGCCTCGTCAAAGGCCTGCTCCAAGCGCTGGTCCTTGAGGTACTCATGGGCGTCGTCAACGATCTGGACGATCGTCTTGTGCCCGGAATCCGAGCAAATCTCTTCCACCGTCAGGTGGGCAACCAAGGAGCTCAGTCGTGAGCCCAAGGGGATGGCATCTATGATGCGCTTGCCAATCAAATTCAAAGGCAACCTCGCCTCTGCCTCCACCAGTTGAGCACCTGCCGTGCATTAGTCCCATCGAAACGTTTGGGTGTGAGCTCACCTTACTCAATGCGGATACTCAGGTGGCGCTTCAAGACCCTGTGCAGGAAGAGCTCTGGAATACCAATCACTTCTGCCTGATTGTGCACGAGTGCTTTCGGTGTTTAGAGAATAACAAGCCGCTGCAGGGTCTTGATTATGAAGACTGCCCGAAGGCGATTCGTGTCCCCGTCTCCGATTCAGGTATTCTTGAAGCCAAGGCCTTCCACTCGACCACGCGGGTCCGCCACGCCTGTTTAGATGCTGGCTTTACAACTATAAGCCCGCAAGGGTGGCGGTATTGCCACTCCCTGCGGATTGTTAAGCTGCCTGATACGGTCGTGACGTTAGGATATGCAGTATTCCAAGGTTGTTACTCCCTACAGGTAGCTGAAATGCCTCCACCAGCCATAGCTGTAGATTCCTCTGGTACTCGCGGAACTGCTTCTCTGGCATCTCTCCGCCCCAACTCGGAGCAGGGTCAAGGCGGTAGTCCACATGCTTCTTGGGTTCCCGGCCTTCATTGCCGGATTTCGGAGTGGCAGGATTCGAAGGCATTCGAGGCGGTGTGGTAGCCAACCTGGGCGGACCAGTGAGAGCTCTGCTCCATGGATCTTCTGGCTCATCATGGAGTCCCGGGTCAACGGGTTGAGATTCTCCCAAAGGTCGTTGAGGACTCTGCGGAGGCATGGGTGTAGCCGCGTGTAGTAGGCGGAGTGGGGGATGTACCGGATGGGTTCATCGATGAAGTGGCTCCAGTCCCACGCCAAGTCCTAGCTGGCGGTGGTCCACCAAAGGCCAATGGCCAAAAGCAAAGAACAAACTTCCCAGCGCAACCTGGTAATCGAAGGGCTCCTAGAAATAGTAACTTCCCCAAATCCCTGGGTAGAACCACCGCGAGAACGCGGTCCAAGAAACGTCGAGCAGCCGGGGGGCATCCCCCCCAAGACAATGCCCAAACACGTCCTCGCGGGAGCCCCAGTCGTCACCGGGGCTCCGCTACCACTGTTGAGCCGCTCGAAGATCGGCCGTTTTCCTCGCCATGAACGGAGGGGGCTCAAGGCGCCTGCGTGAGGCACGTGAGAGTTGGGCCAAATGGTGGCCGGACAGAAAGTGGATCCAGAGCATGGGTCATGAGCTTTAGTAGAATGGCATGTTCTTTCACACCAGCTATAAGAACGACAAGGAGAAGGGGCCGTGCTTCAGGTGCGGAGAACGAGGACATCACAAACATGAATGTCCAAAGAGAGAGAGTGCCAAGATGGCCACACACTATGAGGAAGATGAGGAAGCTCAATACACATACCACACCACTGAAGAGGAGCAGGTCCCCGACTTCCCCGATGGCAACCCGGAGGAGTTCCCGGAGGGCAACTTCTATGGGATGGACGGATCATCAGGGCTTGAGCCTATGCCGGTGTTCCAGGCCTCCGTCTCCACAGAGAAAGCCGTAGTGGAAGGAAAAGCAGTGATAGACGGAGGAGCGACAAGAACAATGGCCTCCGTGTATGCCATGGAGCAGTACATGAAGGCAATGAAAGAGCAACATGGAACCGACGGCATCAAGCACATCGGAGTCAAGGAAGAAGACAGGCCAACTTTTGGATTTGGAAATTCCCAAAAGGCCAAGTGTCTTTCCACCTGTGTACTGAAGCTACCTCATGCGGATCGACCAATGCAACTCAAGGTACAAGTTCTGGTGGAAGGCAAGGCTCCGGTGCTGCTGTCAGTGGACACCTTGCGGAAGATGGGTGCGATCATTGACTTTGCCTCCGATGAGGTGATTTTCTCACAGGTAGCTCCAGACAAGCTGATCAAGCTGGAGCGCTCGACGTCAGGGCACCAACTCCTGCCCCTGACAAGTGACTTTTTTCAAGGCGGAGAACATCTGAAGCGTCCGGTGCATAGCTTGAAGCAGTTAGTAGCGGATAGGGTTTCAGAGAAGCCTCATGATTCATCAGAGTAGGATGGCAGACTCTGCTCGGGGAAGCCTGAATCCGAGTGGGAGGAAATCAAGAGAACAGGCAAGTCAAGAAGAGATCACTCACCGTCTGCAAGCAATTTAATTCAGAGTCCGATGCATGAGTTGAACAGAGAGGGTTCTATTTTTGGACAATTTCCTTTATTTTCAGCAGCTTTGCAGAGATGTCAGCAGTCACACTCGTTCGAATCGACCGGCACGGGGTGGGGGAAACCAGGGAAGGGTGCAGGTTGTGAGAATACCGCAGCTTCTAGTGACCCAAAAGTCGCATCAAGCTCGATCGACCCAAGTTCCCACTCCGCGAGATCTCATGGCGCCCAAGAAGTACATCCCTTCGGAAAGTGCGGCACACCTGAAACCGCACTACCTGTGCGGGATCAACGAGTGCCGTGCAGAGTTGAGGGCGGCAGGACAACCAGTACATCAAGATCTTTCCCTGGCAGAAGTGAGGATTGCTGTCCGCGAATTGCGCCTACGCCAGACACAGCTGACCATGCGCAGCCCAGGAAACGATGTGATGCAGCAAATCAAGAACTCCAACAAGCCAACCTTGGTGGAGATGTGCCACAACTATCAAGTGGCACTCCATCCAAAGGCAACAGTGGGGGAGCTGCGCCTAGCACTCCGTCAGGCTGTGATGAAGAACTGCTCTGGAGACACGACCATCGAGTTCGGCAAGCACAAGGGAGCATCCTTCATGGAAGTCACGGTGGACTGCCCGTACAGCCGGGCTATGCGAGAAGTGGAGAGCGAGAGCCCCGATTGGAAGCTGCAATTCGCTCAATGGCGCAGGCCCCCACAGCAGTACCTGGGGAGGCCAAGGGGGGATCGAGTGCAGAGACAGCCGAGCTGAAGGAGATGATGAAACACATGATGTTCAAGATGCACACCATGGAGGCGGACCTGAAAGAGGCAAAGGAAGCAGCAACTTCCTCCAAGACCCGCAAGACCCGCACCGCGAACACTTCGAGAAGGTGGAACCCATGGGAGAGCAAATCTCTCAGGCCCCACCAGAGGGTCAGTAGAGGTAGAGCCAGAATCTATCTACAGAGAGCCAGAGTGTCTAGTGCGCGATCTCCCTTCCAGCGACTTGGAAAAGCTGGATCAAATTCCTTGGGAGGTCACACAAGCAATAGACCATGGCCGTACGTTTTTGATGGAAGTAGCATGCGCTCCTGATTCCCTACTCACCAGTGAGGCACATGCAAAAGGTTTGTCTGCCGTCCGAGCCGGCTTGTTTAACGGATGTGATTTGACTTCTCCCGAGGGTTTGAGGAAAACGTTGAACATGGTGAAGCGGCATCGACCCATCAACATGTGGATCAGTACCGAATGCGGTGCTTTCAGTCCCATACAGAACTTCAATCAACGAACTGAACAACAGCGTAAGGACCTTCAAGATAAACAAAGAGAGGCTCGCAAACAACACATTGGAGGGTTGGTCGTTGCCTACTACGCTCGTTCGGTCGGCTGTCATGTGCATTGGGAATGGAGTCGTAGGTGTAGAGCTTGGAAGTGGGAACATGTTGATAGGTTTCGAGCGAACATGAACACGGCCACGGCTATCATTAGCGGGTGTAGGGTTGGTTTGAAGGACTCCCAAAACAGAGGCCTTTTAGGTAAAGAGTGGCGAGTGGAATCGACGAATCCGAATTTCGCTTCGAAGTTGCATTTGACGTGTCGGGGGGTGGAGTGCGAGGGTTTGAAATGTGAAGGATTGACCACGAGACAAACGGCTTTCTATACCCCCCAAATGGTTCGGAGGATCGTGTTCTACATGAAGAAGACCCATGTGGAGGACATCATGACACACTTGCATGACACGGAAAAGAGTAGTGGTTTGGAAAGGGTGCATTTGGGAAAATATAGAAGGGGTCAATGTAACTGCAGTATGTTCCAAGAGAAGGGTACCTTGCAGATGTGCCCAAGGTGCATCTTGACTGAACAAGCTCTTGTAGGAGAAGAGGAACCATGGGAGGTTCGGACGTGGACATGGACCAGGAAGGTCAGGCAGGTGAGGAAGGTATGACCCAAGAAGAAACGAAAGAATGGGAAAAGAAACTGCGGTTGATTCACGGGGCGACGGGCCACGGAAGCGTTGAATCTTTGGTGAGAACGTTGAGGCAACGAGGTGTGAGGCCTGAGGTGTTGCAACTTGCTAAACGTTTTGTTTGTGACACTTGTGAAGAAAGGAAACGCCCTGCCCCTCGTCGTGTCGCGAACCTCGAACTCGTGCCGAAGCGTTGGACGGTCGCGTTGGCGGATTGTGCGTTTTGGAGGCACCCTCACTCCAAGAAGCGTGTCACGATAGGTTTGCTCATGGACCAGGGTAGCAGGTTTTTGGTGGGTCGCATTTTGGTGGAAGGGGAAAAGAACAGTGTGAAAGCTGAACAATACATGCGGTTCTACCAAGAGAATTGGCAACAGTATTTCGGGAACCCCGACTTCTTGCGATTTGATGCGGAAGGCACCTGGCGTTCTCGTGAGTTAGACACGTACTTCAGTAGACAACAGGTCATGCTTGACCCTATCCCAGGGGACGCTCACTGGCATCCTTCCCCTTTGGAGAGAAGCATCGAGTGGCTCAAAGAACTTTTGTCCAGGTTGGCCGTTGAGGATGCCCAGGTGACACCTCATGAGGCCGTCTCACAGGCCATAAGCATTTGGAATCGACGTGAGATGGTTCGTGGTTTTTCACCATTTCAGCATGCCTTGGGACAGGCCCCTGACATCGACGGGAGATTCTTTAGAGAAAACGTGAAGGATTTTCCGGTGGACATCATGGAGACCCCTGTTGGAGAATCCAGAAACATCAGAAGCTTCGATTGGCCGCAGAAGAAACATTCCTGAAGTGGCAAGCTAGCGAACGACTTGCCAGAGCTCTGAACTCCAAGTCAAAGCCTTGTCCCACGTATTCGCCAGGAGAACTAGTTTTCTACTGGAGGCATTTGGGTAGGAAGGAAGCTGGACAACGATTTCAGACAGGACATTTCTATGGCTACGCCGGACCAGCCAGGATCTTGGCCTTGGAGACAAGGTTTGATGAGGACAACCGCATGAGGCCTAGTTCAGTAGTGTGGTTGGTTCGCAACAATAGGTTAATGAAGGCCTCAGTGGAGCAACTGAGAAAGGCTTCCAACAGAGAGCGCACCATGGCAGAGATTGACCAAGAGATTCAGCTCCCTTGGACCATCTCTGATATAGTTTCCCCACTGGGCAAGAACGAGTACGACGACATCACCATGGAAGTTGAACACTTGCCTAGTCGAGAGGATAGAGACGAACAGCCACGGTTCGCAGAACCCCCACAGAAGAGACACCGGACGAAAGCACCAGTGAATGCACAAATTCAGGAAGGTGCAAACTCCTCTTCCTCCACAGCCAGGCCAGAAGAACCTCAACCTATGGCAGTGGAAGAAGACGAAGAAGACCCAGAACTGTTCCAACAAGAGGACTCTCAATTGTCTTTTTGGAGCAGAGAAGATGCAGCAGTGAAATATCCATACCACTTCCTACAGCAAGGCATGGGTGGACGCGCATGTCCAAAGACCCACAAGCGTACATAGTCAATACTTTGAAGCGTAAGAGCATTGAAGTGTTTGAGAAGAATATGGACATGGAGACCAAAGAGAAGTTCCGCAAGGCCAAGGACACCGAAATAAACAAGTTCTTGCAGTCGGAAGCTTTAGAGGCTCTTCCAAAACATTTGCAACCGCCCAAGTCAGAAGCCATGTCCATGAGGTGGTTGTTGAGCTGGAAGGTAGACGGTGAGGGCGCAACAGTGCCAAAAGCAAGGCTGGTGATATTGGGGTACCAAGACCCGCTGTACGAACACCGGATTACATATGCCCCAACTACAACCAGGCACACAAGACAGCTCATGCTACAACAAGCTGCATGTAGAGGCTGGAAATGCTGGAAGGGAGACGTTTCGGCTGCATTTTTGCAAGGGAGAGAGTGTACAGAAGAACTCTTTTGCATACCGACTGATGACCTCTGCGAGCAGATGAAAATCCCTCGCGAGAGCATCACTCGCTTGAAGCGATCCTGTTACGGCTTAGTTCAAGCCCCTTACGAATGGTACGAGTCAGTCAGGTCCCATTTTCTTGAAATAGGATTTGTACAGTCCAATGCGGACCCCTGCTGTTGGATCCTCAAAAGAGGAGGTCAGGTACATGCCATCATAGCTGGACATGTAGACGGCTTTTTGTTCGTCGGCAGTCCATCCGACGACACTTGGATGTCAGCGAAAAAGAGCATTCAAGAGCGATTCAGACGGGGGGAATTTGAGGAAGGAAAGTTTACACAATGCGGGGTTCAAGTGGAACAACATTCTGACAACAGTTTTTCCCTTCTTCAAGAGAAGTACATGACCCACACGGTTTCGGTCCCTTTGAGTTCGGAACGTAGGAAACAACGGAAGGAACCCACGACCGACAAAGAAAAGAAGGCTTTAAGAGGTGTGCTTGGAGCCCTCTCATGGCATTGCAACCAAGTGGCTTTCAGATTTTCGGCCTATGTTTCCTTGTTTCTCAGTGAGATTGCCAATTCTACGGTGGAGACCATCATTCAGGTTAACGCCCTCATTCACAGAATGAAAGATTCCTCCAAGGAACCAATGCGAATTTATCCTTTTGATTTGAACAGAGTGTCTCTTTTTGCATGGAGTGATGCCAGCAACCAAAACCGGACCTCCGGACACTCAACAAAAGGGATCTTTTGTGGTGTGGCTGATTGTGGGCTCAACGAAGGCCGTCTTTCAAAGATCACCCCATTGTTTTGGCAAAGTTCCAAGATAGATAGAGTGTGCAGGGCTCCAGGAGCATCAGAGGCACTGCCGTGGACGCAGAAGACATTTTGTTTCTGTTGCGGTACCAATGGAGCGAGATGCAAGGCCATGAACCTCACATTCGTGATCCTGACTCCATGGCCCGGTTGACTGCAGGAACCCTCATCACTGATTCCAGATCAGTGTACGACAAGCTGCAAAGACCATATATCTCACCCACTGGACAGTCCAAGAAGATTGATATTGAGTTGCTAGCCCTGAAGAATGCTCAAAGAGAGACTGGCCTAGAGATTCGTTGGGTGAACAGCCAAGCCATGTTGGCTAATAGTCTGACCAAACGCGGGGAAGACGAGCAGATGAACCGATTCGTGGCTTGCAAACAAACCTGGCGAATTGTTGAAGATGCTGAAATGTTTAGTGGAAAGCGTCTCAAAAGAGAACAGAGAGATCTTCTTAATTTAAGTGAGTGATCTTGTGTTGTGGTGTTTTGTGCCCTCGAGCTTTTGGTTATAGAAACCATTCGGAAGAAGGCTTCGAAGCCCCAAAAGGGGGCATGCACTTTCAGTGGATGTCTTTGAGGACGTCAATAGGCATTGCATCCACAAGCCATTTAAGGCCCTTTTGTTCGATCACCCGTATCCCTTACCTGCCATTTGACGTATCGTCGGCGCGTGTGATAAAGGAGGGATTGTGTGTGCGGCGCTTGAGGGATCCTACAACATGGAAGTGGAAAACCCCCTGTCCGTAAAGGAAAGTAGTCTTCCAAGGGACCATGTTCTTCTTCCATGTTAGCGAGTCAGAGTGTACGTCTTTATCAAAATGATTCAAAAATATTCAAAATGTATCTGAATGTTGACTGCTGATGAAGAAATCCCCCTCCTTAGATTTGAGAGCATTCTCTATATGGGGAAGGCTTCTTCACCAACCAACATGGGGTCCTGTTCCGAAATCTAGCCGCGCATTTTCTCAAACAACCTGAGAGAGGGAGAGAGAGAGAGAGAGAAAAAGAGAGAGAGAGAGAGACATTTGGGACATTTGGGCTGCTTTTGACATCTCCAGTTCATGCTGCTTCATGACCACCAAGGCCCTAGTCCTCAGACGAATCACGGCGGCGAACCACCTCCCCGGCCTGAAAGAAGAGCTGTCAGTTAAGCCTAGGCTGTGGCTGACCGCAGGGCCTAGGCGAGAGCAGCAAGAGAACATCTATGACTGGCTGCGACCATCCTCCACTCAACTATGGTCAAGACTCAGTGTCGAACTAATGGATTTCAGGCTGAGTCAAGAATACTCCGTCTTTTGATCCAGATATGTTCAAGTCCATTGGCCCCTTCTGCCAACGAAAAACCGGCAACCGCTGCCCACTGGACCACAGGGCTGGTCGGAGAAAAGCGAACGCAGGTGGCTTTGATATATTCAGATGCGCTCCACAAGGTGGAGCGGCCGGATTCTGAAACGGATTTGCTGGATTCTGACACTATGTGGTCGGATTCTGAAACTAGAAGGTCGGATTCGGAAACTTAAACGACAAGTTTTGGAACTTCAGTTGTGCAACACATCATCATCGTTGGGAAAATTGGGTCTGTTTTGTGTGCTTGTGTTTTTTCTCTGTGGCCTCCTGCTGAGCTCTGTATATCGTCTTACACTGCATATATATTCCTCAGCTGTCGCGCTTGGCACTTGCATCACTTCGTGCCAAGCGCGACTGTACACGTAGCTCGAGTCCAGTTTGGAAATCATTGTTTCTGACATCCGGAAATCCAGTTTGCAGAGGGGAACTCCCCGGTTTCGGGACCCCACGGTCGTCGTCCGGTTCTTCCGTCGCGACCGAGCGGAGTCGCCTGGGCCAGTTCGGTCACTGGATGGGACTTCGGTCAGTTCGGTCACGAACTGAAGAAGCTGGTAGTTGTGATATATATATATATATATACCAGCTCTTCAACCGCAAGCTCATGCAACCAGTCCAGTTTGGCAGAAATTCTGCATCCCCGAAGTCGGACACCCCAAGACTTCCCCCAGAAGACCAGGGAAATTCCAGCGGAAGGGTCTTAAAATAGGCAACAACCCTCTGGAAGAAGGGAAATAGACCAGTCTACCCATTGGTGGGAGACCTCCCACACAAAAAATACACACCCAAAACATGTCACATCCGAAGAGTTGGTCGTGTTACAACAAGACCCAAAATGCCAGCTAAGGAAGGTGCCAGCCGCACTGTGAGCGGCCATTTTGGGGGGGGGCACGCCATGAATTTGATGGCTTTTGCCGAACAACATGAACAACCATTGTTTGTACTAAGGATTTTGGACTGGAAAACCAGCTCCAGCACGACTGGTCTTCTCGGTGCCGCTGCTTCACTCTGTTGCCCACCTCTCCCCTCGTCTTCAGCGTCCGCCGAGGCGCTGGAATCGCAGGAGGTGGAGGACGTCATTCGATCAAAACGATCTAAGCCCAAGGACATCGAGGCCGACAAAGGGAAGCTCGGAGTCTGGCAGGCTGCAGGCTGGGTGAGTCATGTCAGGTTACGGCGGCTTTGGGCGAAGGAGTTTGGGGGTAGTGTGCAAAATCACCACAAAGGATCCCCTGCAAGAGCTTTTGAGATTTACATCGATTTGCTGTCATCTGTAATTATTTTGATCTCAAAAAAGAACACCCAGGTCCCTATCCTTCCAAGACCAAAGAATGGGAACGACCTGGTCTTCCTGGTCTTATAGTCTAAAATCCTTAGTTCAATGGTTCTTCGGGATTCCCATTGAATCCACGGTGGGCCCCGAATCCCGGTGTTCTTCAACTGTCCCGGTGAACCCACGGGCGCGACGTCCGGATCCACTGGTCGACGTCCGGATCCACTGGTCCGAGGTCGCCTCCGCCCCGGCGGAGAGGACGGAGAGGGAGGAGGGCGAGGCGCAGTCATCGGAGCACCGCACCTGTGCAACCGAGGACGGGAACTGGCGGTACCAACGGGGCCAACCCAGCGTGGACGGTCATGTGAAAAGGCGGGGGCCCGTTGGGGTCTAGCAAATTCATGCGAAAGTGAGTCTCCCTGGATGCTCCTCACAGGGATTTGGAATGACTTCATGGTGTTTGGAGCTTTTCGAAGCCTCCCAATCTCGGAATCCCTCGATTCAGAAGGTGGTCGTTGGATCGGGCCTCATAGCCCCTCTGCCATAGAAGTGGGGGGTTGAAAACTGCGGTATGAATGGATCGAATGGAAGCTTAGTTGACCTTTAGAGTGGTGGCCGAGATCACCTCTCAGCCGATTCAGGAGATGTGATTCTTGGGATTTGGCACCATCTGAGAACGTCTACAGGAGTCTGGCTTCAGAAGAGGTCTGTGGAAAAGCCCACTTTCTTTGAAAATCCCAAGTTTTTGAGTGGATTCATGGACAAATGCATGCTAGTGTACATCAACCAGTAAGACCCCCAAGCAAACAGCAAGGTCGATCGGAGAATGTTCCCCATCATGGTCTTGGATATTTGTCACCCACACCCATCTGTGGCATTCTTCGGTGCCAAAGTCTTCTATAGTCGCATCTTGGACCTAACAAAGAGTTGGCCTTCTGAGCCTTCTGGGCCTTGCTAATGTATAATTAAGTTGCCCAATGCCAATGCCTTGCTTTTCTCTACATTGCTTGAGCTTGGGGAGGCCTATTTGCCTTGCACTGCTGAGACGAGCGATTTCCCCAGCAAATTGATTGAGACTTCACGGAGCAATCCCCAAGGTCAGCGGCTTATACGGAGTTCATATGGACCCCCGTCTGTCTAAGACCCCTTCGGGGTATTGCGTTTTTCCGCTCTAAGTGACGTGGACCGTCCCAGTACAACGCCCCCGACGCGACGCCTGACTCTTCTTCTCAACAATTTGCCTCGCCTGAGAGTGCGACCGCCGAATGAGGCGAGGCGCAAGCGCCCGCATGGTCGGGTCTGAGTGTGGACTGTTTCCACTCCACAAAGCTGGTTTGGTCGGTTTCTTCCTTAACACCCCCTTCATCACCTCCAAGAGCGAGGCGATTGAGAGACACCCTCAAGAAGATTCGTCGGGTCTCTGGTCAAGGGATCATGTGTGTTTTCCTTCGAAGTGCATCCGAGAAAAACTGACGGTTCCATCCAGCTCGGTTGGTCGTCGGATCAGGCGAGCATCGATTCACCACAAAAAGGGCGTGGAGGAAGCCCCACGGTGGCACACGGTGGCACGACCTTAAAAGAGCAAACACGGCACAGACCCTGGGCTTCCAACAGGCATTGATCCCCGGGCTTCCAACAGGCATTGATCCCTGGGCTTCCAACAGGTCAATCATTTACTAGTCTGAATTACGAAGAATCCTTGTTTTACCAAGGACTTCACACTACGAAAAGCCAGGTCAATCATTTCAAGACGTGTTACACCTCGTCCGGGTAGAGAAGGAGCACCGCCAAGTCCCTCCCAAACGGCGTAACGGTTACGCCGTGTCGCCCAGTCAGTGTAGGGCCGATGGCCTGCCAGAGACCGTTGAGCCATCGAATCCCGCGATCCGTCGACCGTTCGTGGGTTCGTTCGACGGTCGGTTCACGTTTGATCAAAGCACTGGTGAGGTCAAAGTACAGGTGGTAACTACTTTCAGTACCACCCTAAGAATCCGAGTCCGGGTCCTCCATCTCATTCTCGGACCCGACGCCTGTGTTTGAGGGGTCCAGACCCTCAAACCCTATGTGTTTGAGGACCGGGATTCTTAGGGCACAGAAGAGGAAAACCTCCGAAATACCAGCGACATCCATCGTGGGAACTGCCTGGATCCACCCTCTTCTCGTTCGACGGAACGGTCCACCCGGTGTTCAGGTCGGTCGACCCGAGGTCGGTCGGCAAAAAACGAACTGCAGAAGGGTCACAGTTCCAAAAAATCACGAGGTAAACCTCACAAACGTCCCTGGTCCGGATCGTGACGAAAAAACGACTTCCATGAACAAAAAACAGCTCCAACTCCTAAGAAAGGTGCTTTGGAGAAGCCCAAGGAGCTTCTGAAAAGGTCTTTTGTTAAGCCCTACGGATCAAGAAAACTGAGAAGGTCTCTATGGTTCAGTCCTGGTTCGCCAGGATCTTCACATCTTCCAAACCGACCGAATTCTAGGGCAAGTCTTGGGGGCCTCTCCACTCCTGCGTTTTCCAACATGATGAAGTCTGGAGGACGTGACGAAGTCGAATATGGGGGTTCTCCAAAAGATGCTTTTGCTGCACGAACAGCAAAACCTTCAGATATGCCTGTGGGTCAAAACAGCGGTCCCTGGTTGACCATCGAACATGAACAGATCGACTACGAGGGAGGTCAACTTACCAGGGTGAAACGGGCTCCGGTTTACCAGTCATATCTTGCTGTTCGCGAGCCATTCTCCCTTCACCCTCCTCGCTCATCCCACGCGAGTTCACCCACCCCGCTCACGGATTCACCGGTGGACACCGCGCCTTTGGACGCCTTTCGTGCCGTTGGAGAGTCTGTTGATTTGGGAAGTTTCTCCCGCTGCACCCGGGCCATGGGACGACGGAGGCCGCCGGGCGCAGCCGGGAACTTGAAAAAGGTTCGGTCGCAGCGACGTTCCTGCGGCGACCTGCTGACTGACTTAGAGGTCATATCGTTGCAACCCACGGGGCCGTTCGTGGTTTTGGAGGCCCGGCGCCATGACTAGGTCCTCAAAGCTTCAGTGGTGGACAAACGCGCCAAAAAGAGAAAAAAAGCTTTCTGCCCTGTCTTCACCCAACAAGGCATTCAGATCTTCTGCATTTGGTCACCAGTCCTCAACAACCCACACGAAATGGCTTGCTGACCATCATTGCTCTTGGAGTTCGTGGCCCTTCGTGGCTGCGGTACATCCTGCTTCGGCGTGTCCGTCAGGGGGGGTGGGGCTGGGTGACTCTTCATGTCGGTTCGTTGGAAGCGTGGCGTGTGAGGCGTTGGGCTTTTGGCCAAAACGAAAAGGGTGGATGAGACGGACATGAAACGCATGGCACACATGACCCGCGTGATGTCTTCTTCCCACGCGCCGGGTCTCGGACCCGAATCGTTTGGAGGAGGTCGAGGTCTGGGGTTTCTCACCAATCCCGATCGGTTTTGAGGAACCAGGGGCTGTTTGGAGCATCTGGGTTTGAGAAATTGCATTGTGGCAGGGCAGGTCACTGGGCCACACCAGTGGCAGGTCTGAAACCCCTTCCTGCTGTGGAAATGATAAAAGGGGTTGGTCGCCGTACCCCTCTCGTACCCCCAAACCAACTCAAACATCTGGAGTCACACCCACCTTCAGCCAAAAAAGACGAGAACTGTTGAAGAATCGAATCCTCCATATGGAGATGCAAAAGCCTTTTTGATAGGATCTGCTAGGGTGGTGTTATTCATCAACAGTCCACCATTGACAGTTGTTTGTTTCCGACCACTTCGCTGGATTTTCTGGGGCATTACACTACCAGCTGCCACTGCAAACACCCAGTTTCCTGGAAATTCCAAAGGGTGGTCCAAACGAAAAAGGCCCAGTCTGTTCTTCTGCCCTCCAAGAATCACACTCAAGGTACGGTGCCAGAGGGGCGGCGCTACCTAAAGTTTTTCATCCTAAGGTACGGGTACGGCACATCTGGACATGGTGTCAGTCATCCTAGATACGCCGTGGAAACTTGACATGAAACCTGAAAGCCACCTGGGCTGTGCGGAGGAAAATCGTCGTTCAAAGGTCCATCTTCAGGTTCCATGTGGGCCTGCCTGCCAGCCACCCTCACACAGGAGGCCGGCCCTGAGCGGTGTATTGCAATGATTGGTTCTTTCATGCCATGGAGGAAATCATGTTCAAAGAACTGAACAGTGTATTTGAAGAAGAAAAACAAACAAAAAAACATTTTCAAAAAAAAATAAACAAAATAATTAAAACAAAAATAACTAAATAAACCAAAAAATAAAAAACATGTTCAAAAATCCTTTCACCATGGGTATTCAGTTGGTGCAACGGTGAAATCCTCAAAGCCAACCTCCTGGATTTCCTCTCTGCAACCCGATGACCAAAGCACCCACTTCCGACCAGTGCACGTGCGTTTTTTGACCCGCGAGGAGGTGGCAACACCTTGCCGCTCCAGAACGGTTTTGACCTGGCCGAAAAGAAGCGGGGTGTGAAAAAGGGTTGAATTCTGGAGGTCCTTCAACCAGATTCTGGCCACTCCAATTCTTAAATTGGTTGCGAAGGCCGGCAGTGTAACCAAACTTCAGCACATGTCCACTCGAGCGAAACTCTCTCGCTTGCGTGAT